AAAATAACAGATGGAGCAGAACTAAGCTCCGACCATTCCCCTCTCTACATAACTCTCTTCGAATCTGCCTTAATAAATAAAAAATGTCTAAAACTTGAAAATAAATACACAGATTGGAGTTACTTCAGAAGAATCCCTAATGTAAACACCATTGCTACAAAAGAAATTTGTGAAGAAAACGATCTTGAAAGCGAAATTTTGAACCTTACAAATTTACTACAACATGCGGCATGATGCAGCACGCCCACATTAAGGAATGCAACCTATCCTCATAAATACCCAAAAGTCATTGTGGATCTTATGCGGGAAAAAAGAAAGATGCGGAAAAAGTGGCAGCAATGCAGATTTCCAGCAGACAAAGCCATTCTTAACAGACTTGCAAAAGAACTCAGCCTAAAAATCAAGCAATTTAAAAATAATCAATTCAACTACTACCTATCTAACTTAAGTAATGATCGTGCTACCAACTATTCTCTCTGGAAATACACACGAAACCTTAAGCGACCTTTAGTACACAAAGCTCCAATTAAAAATCTCGCTAATCAATGGGCTAAAAGCGATGAGGAAAAAGTGGAGGTCTTTTCCGAACACTTGTCAAAAGTGTCTTCCATAGACGAAAACGTTAACAATGCAGTAATCTGCCCTCCTAGGACAGAACATTCATCCTGTATTCCACCAACCACCGAGCTTGAGGTAATGATGATTATTAAAAATGAACTTAAGCTAAAAAAAACTCAGGTTATGAATTGATAAGTGCTGAAGTTTTAAAAGAAATTCCTGCAAAATGCCTTGTTAAAATTACGAATATATTTAACGCTATAATACAGATGCGAACCCTTCCATCCCTGTGGAAAGTATCTGAAATTATCATGGTACATAAGCCAGGAAAGGATATTAATGACGTAAGTGGTTACAGACCAATAGCACTTCTGCCTGTACTTTCAAAAATATTTGAAAAAGTCTTACTGAAAAGAATCCTTCCTCTGATTGAAAGTCAAAACTTAATACCTTTACATCAGTTTGGTTTTAGGTGCAATCACTCCACCATAGATCAAGTCCATAGGATTACCAATGTAATAGAAAAAGCTCTTGAGGAAAAAAAAATCTGCTCAGCTGTGTTTTTAGATGTGCCGCAGGCTTTCGATAAAGTCTGGCACTCCGGATTGCTTACCAAAGTAAAAAATATTCTCCCAACGGAGTATTATGACGTAATCTCCTCCTACTTATCTGATCGTTACTTTCGAGTAAAGCACGGTGATGCCTATAGTAAACTGCATAAAATTAACGCTGGAGTTCCGCAAGGTAGTGTCTTGGGTCCTCTCTTATATCTGATTTATACACACGACTTGCCAACGAGTGCAACGACGTTCACAGCAACTTTTGCTGATGATACTGCAGTCCTTGCAGTTGGAGAAAGCGCAGTAATAGCAGCTAATAATTTGCAAAATAGTATGGACAGTATAATTGCTTGGACAAAAAAATGGAAAATTAATCTGAATAAAGAAAAATCAGTGCATGTAAATTTCACAAACCGAAACATCAGTTATATACCTGTCTACATCGATGAAGCACAAATCCCTCACGAATACTGCGAAATACTTGGGTATGACTTTGGACGCTAAACTAAGATGGAGCGAGCACATAAAAAAGAAAAGAAGTGAATTAGATCTTAAATTCAAATCGTTGAAATGGTTAATCGGCAAAAAATCAAAACTATCGCTTTTCAATAAACTTGTATTATACAAACAAATGCTCCAGCCAATCTGGACATATGGAATACAGCTATGGGGTTGCGCAAGCAGAACACAAATTTCCATCATCCAAAGATTCCAAAATTTTATGCTACGGAGTGTAACAAACGCGCCATGGTACGTGAGAAATTCTGACTTACATCGTGACCTCGGAGTGTCAACAGTACAGGAAGAAATTCATACAAAAGCCAAATCACACCAAGATAGACTTAGTTGTCACATAAATTCTGAGGCGCATTTACTAGCGACAACTGAGCCAATACGCCGTCTAAAGCGCCAAAAGCCGTGCGATCTTTGGGCTTAAATCATTGAAATGTAGTACAATTAATTTATTATTGCGTGGAATCACCTAATCTGTTTAAATTTAAATTGCTTGTTAGTTATCTAATAACTAGTTGCTTTATGTCTTGTTTTGTTTTATTTATTGTTCTTTAATATTATATATAATAAAACAATTTATAATAAAAAAAAAAAAAAAAAAAAAATTTTCCATCTGCCATGCAAGGGGAAGACGAAGAAACGAAGTGGATGTAAATGCTCGATGTACTTGTTGGCGTAGTTACATAAAATATTAAGAAAAAAATTTTTCTTTTTCAAAAATATAAACGAAATTTATGTCAAAACAATAAGAAATTTTTTATTAAAGCAATAAGGATATTTTTGCTGAGTAGGGACTCCCTAATCACTTTAGTGTACATCTGGAAATACGCGGTCAATGAGAGCATTTTGGGAATCAACGATAGTGCAGAAATTAGGGGCAGTTTTATGAATTCAGTATTTTCATAGACAACAACTTTTCATATCATAGCAAGTTTTCTTTTTCAAAAATATAAAAAAATTTATGTCAAAAAAATAAAAAAATTTTTGTTAAAGCAATAAAGATATTTTTGCTGGATAGGGACACCCTAATCACTTTAGCGGTATGAAAAATAGATAGTAGCCGATTCTTAGACCTACTGAATACGCATATAAAATTTGTTCATCATGTTCATCAAAACATGGAACTTAGATGGAATACATCTGAAATTATTATCACAATTTTTTATTGTTTATAATTCATTTATTTTATTACAATCTGTCAGATATGAATGACAATAAGTAATATATATTAACATGAATCGTAATAATAATTATTACAATCTATAAAAGAAAGTCACGTATGGACTATGTCCAGTGACATATCCTTATATACTTAAAATAAGATTGTGTGACCTACATATACATATTTAAAACGATCCTCGATGTTTTTCTTTTTAACCTTGTAAAAGTGTTGGAGGGGGACATCAGGTGTGTAACCAGTGGGTTTGGATGCATAAATATGCGATGAGCGTAATTCTTTGTAATTCGAGATATTTCTTCCTTGATTGTCGGAACATGTAGTTGCTTATGCAGCTGTTCATTCGATACGTACCAAGGTGAATTTGTGATCATTCGTAGTGTTTTTGATTGAAAACGCTGGATAATTGCCAAGTTTGAGTCTGCTGCAGTACCCCATAATTGGTTTGTGGTATTGGTTTGAGTATTGTTTATTAATACGGGCGGGCACGTAGAACGGTTTGTAGTAAATGTTACTTGGACGGATTTTGACTCATTTGGTTTGATACGCCAATTTTTCATCCAGAGAGCAACATTATCACAATTAATAAAAAATAAAGAAATTTATTTAAATAAGTGAAGAATATACCTTAATTGTTCACTATTTATATATTCATTTTATTTATTGTTTAATATTTCTTTTATTTATTTTATTATTTTTTATTATTTATTAATAAATAAATATAAATATTACAAACAACCACTACCAACACTAATTAAAAAAACACGTTTGTAAACAAGACAAGAAACGTCAAAACTTGAAAGCTTTTGTTGAATAAAACACATAGCACGGCGCATTCAAGAACACACAAAAATACAAAGCACGGAAATTACACCCAGGATAATAACAGCAACAAAAGACGACAAGTACCAAAAATACCAACGGGAAATGTACCAATGTAAAAGTGATGTATTTACCGTAAATATAGTTGTAAAAAATAATAAAACATTTATTGAATTGCTGAGAAATACCAAAAAAATCAATTTTTAATTGGATAGTGGCGCGACTATTTTGCTAATTACTTTGGCAACGTATGCAAAACTGAAATCACCAAAATTATTTAGTAGCAAAAAGATTATGTATGGTTACGGAAATAAAAAAATGGATATTGTTGGTGAAATTAGTGCTGATATTGAATGTGAAAAAATAAAAAAACGGGTCACACTTTTAGTAACAAATATTAACGAATAAATAATTTATTTGTTCAGGATTTATTTGATCAATTTAGTTTTAAAATACACCAAGTTGGAAAAATAAATGACGTTTCAAGAAATTCCACGGTGGAGAGCTTTAAACATAAGTATACCGATGTATTCGGACATGCATTAGGTACAATAAAAAATATTTTAGTTAATATTAGACTAAAACAGAATGCTGTTCCTAATTTTGTTAAAAGTCGACTTATTCCATATGCACTTCTACCCTAACATTTTACAACAACATGGTATTCGTTGCAAATACGAAAACAATTTAAATGGGGACAAGCCTAACAAGAAGCAATTGATCACTTAACAAATGTTATTGCTAATGCAACAGTTCTGGTGCGTTATCAAGAACACCGTCCTTTGATCCGAGCTACTGATGCATCATCATATATTCTAGGGGCAGTGTAATCCCACATTTATAAAGATAATTCTGAGTTATCAAATGCATTTGCTTCCAGAACGTTGAACGATGCGCAGCGCATATACAGCCAAATTGAAAAGGAAGCACTCTTAATTGTATATGGAATGCAACATTTTCATCAGTATCTATGTAAAAGGAAGTTTACATTTTTCACTGATCATAAACCTATAATTAGCATTTTTAGCCCAGATAAACCGTTGCCGGTTATAACAGCTAATCGTTTACTGCGATGGGCAATAACATTAATCGGATATTGATTCGAAATTAAATACTGGAAAACGGAGCTTTAACGGAGCTGTTTTCTTGCTTTAAATAATATATTTTGTAATTTTTGAAGTTAAATATACCGTCGGAGTCATAAGTCTACAAGCAGGCAGTACAAAAAACTTTGTTTAAAAATATTTTCCAAAAAAATCAATTTATTGGAAACATGACTTATTTTTTTTTTATTACATTCAATGCGCAATTTTTTCCCGAAGTTTCTTTGCATTTGTTCAATAAACAACCGAGATAACGGTGCTTTTATTGTCAAAGGCAGCAAAACAAGCGATCAAAAGTCTACAAGCACGTAGTATAAGGCAAAGTTTTAATGAAAAATTCCTGATTTTTTATGCAATTTAGTAACTAATTGGGTAACCGTAATGCTTAAGAACTTGCACTAGACGGTTTTTCATCGAAACTACAAGTTTACTGGTCTCTTGAGTTGTTATTGCGTCCCATTCTTTTAGGATTATGTCTTTCAAATTCTACGTGATTCAACCACAGAAATAGTTTTTGCAAAGCTTTCCTGTATATTACGTACAATTTCCAATGCCGT